TGCACCACCCTCCCGACGACTAGGCTTTCTGTGGGTGGCTCTCCCCTCCCCACGAGTCCTCCACTGTGCATCCCATGTCTTTCGCAGCAGAACCCCTATGCTCTCTCCCCACCCCCACTGCAATTACTACCCCTTTTTCTTGGTTGTCATTTTTGGAATTTTGGCTTTGGAGCCTCAAGAAAACAAATTCGAGGTCTTTTTTTGGCCCCTGAAATTGTGCAATTGTGCTCTTTTTAAGTTCACAAGTGTGCAAACGCACTCCTATAGCTAACTGATGAGTAGCCATGGCTAGTCAATTGCCGTGTCTGTTGCAGCTGTAAGAATTATCTGCAAAGTAAAAGAGGTTATCGGACGAGGAAACTGACAAGACAGGACTGCCTTTTATATCCTGCCTTTCACCATGTCTCAGGGCGATAATACAATGAAACAAATAAGGTAGAGCATCTAAATTATAATAGATAAAATCCAAACTTAAAAACATTACAAACTTTTTAAAATAATGGGAAAGTAAAAAGGGGTTGGCCTGACACCGAAATGAAAAAGCGTCGGTGCCAGGCACACCTCTCTGAGGAGCATGTTCCAGAGCTGGGGCGCTACCACCGAGAAGGCCCTTCTCCGGGTAGCCACTCTTCTGATCTCCTTCAAAGAGGGCTCCCAAAGAAGAGCCTCTGATCCAGGTCGTAGGGGGTGGGCAGGTAGAAGGAAGGAAGGAAGAAGGAAGGAAGGTAGAAGGAAGCTCCTTCAAATATCCAGGTCCTAAGCCATTTGGGGCTTTGTAAGCCATCACTAGCACCTTAAGTAGGGCCCAGACCTCAACTGGAAGCCAGTGGGGATGGTACAGGACCCATGTTGTGTGTGTACATCTGCCAGTCCCTGCTACCAACCCGGCTGTTCTATTTCGTAGAACTTTCAGGTGTTCTATGGACACTTCTTCCTGTCCTGTTGTTTTTTGACACATCTCCAAGGACTTCAGAAGTGGGGGGCATTCCCTTTCCCTTCTTTTTCATGGATCCATTTTGGGTGCACTTCCACTAGTCACAGGGGTTCCCTGATATCCTTCCTCACATGGCAGGAGTCGACAAGGGCACTGGGACCAGGGCAGCTGGAGACGAGGCAGTCTGGGGCCAAGCACTGCCTGGAGACCTGTAGTGAACTCAGAGGCGGGTCATCATTCGGGACTGGGAGTAGGTATCAAGACAAGGACAAGGTCACACACAAGTCAAGGGCTGAGGGAAGACGATGAGAACAGGGTGCAGGGACCTGAGGCAGGATAACCAGGTGGGATTCAGGAGCTGTAGCAGGCGAGGCGGCGAGGCAGTGAGGCATGGCAAGGGTGCAGCAGGGAAAGGGAAAATTATGCAGCAAGGCAAGGAACTGGGTGCAGCGAGAAGCAGGCCATAGGCAGGAGCCGAACAAAGCAGGACGTCCAGCACTGTTGATACAAGACAAGGTGAGGCAGGAGGCAGCCGAGCGCTTGCTGCTACACCGCTCCTCTCCCAGGGCTCCCAGCTGGCGCTCATCAGGAGCCGGAGATCCTGCAAGTACTACAGCAGCTGCTTTGGTCGTAGGCACCAGATGTAGCAGCCTCGATCCTGACAGCTCATACAGGTGAGAGAGACAAAAAGGTGCAGACATAGATGCAAATTTAATGGCTGGGAGGAAATGTGTACCATTTAAAGTGCTGGAATGTAGATGAAGGGGAAATTTGCTGTACAGGCAGTTTTTATATTTGTACTTGCTCTTTGTACAAGTCACTGATGCCGGACTGGAAAGAGGCAAGGAAAGAGTAGTGACTCATACAGAGGCATACAACTGCTGGCAGCTTCTGGGAATGGGCATCACCACAACTGAAGAGCAGGTACTCCGGATCCAGAAGGATCTGGACAGACTATGGAAGTGGGCAGGAGACAACAGGATGGCGTTCAATGCGGATAAGTGCAAGGTCTTGTGCTTGGGGCATAGGAATGGGTGTCGTAAGTACAGGTCAGGGGACAAGTGGCTGGAGGGCAGCACTTGTGAAAGGGACCTCGGGGTGCTGGTCGACTGCAGGCTAAGTGTGAGCCAGCAGTGTGATGCAGTGGCCAAGAGGGCGAATGCCACCCCCGGAAGGATATAGCCAGGTTACGGTCAGTGTAGTGCCACAAGGTTGGTGGCCGGTTTGCAGGGAAAGCCGTATGAGGCTGAGGCCCCATCGGTGCGGGTGTTCAAGGACAGGCTGGACATGCACATGGCAGGCATGTCGTGAGCAGAGCCGACTGGAGCTGGGGGTCAGACTAGATGGCCCGGGAGACCCCTTCTGATTTGCTTTCTAAGTTTCTAAGTTTCTTTCTCCATCTGGGAATGGCTGAATGGACCTACTCTGGACTCAGTCCGAATCTTTATGGAGCTCTCCACAGGGCCAAACCTAGTCCACTTCAGTACCAGCAACGGCTCCTGTAAAGCTCAGACTGAAACCCAGTGTGGATATGCTGCCCCACTGGCCTGCGGGCTGCCAGTCTCAAGGGACCAAAAGACTGCATGCCCAGTGCAGAGGCTGGGAGTCCAGCAAGCCAAGAGTGGTGGCGTCGTGCAGAGGTATCTTTGTGCAAAGGTGGAGCACCGGCTCGACTTGATTCCGTCCCCAACATTGCAGGGAAAAGGTCCAGGTGAGCGGGGACTGGAATACCATGTCCCTGTCTTTCTCGGTGTGCAGGATGACACCACTGGGCCAGGGGTGAAGGAGCTCTCCTCGGGCACTTGGGGACCCCAGTTCTTCGATGACGGCTTAACTAGAGCTCCAAGTTTGGGCCTCGCTGGCCGGAGGACACACTCCTTATACCCTTCGCCAGACTCATCCTTCGCCGTCAAGGGCACTGTGATTCCAATGGTGCAGGCACTCCCTTGGAAAGACGCCAAACTCCACACAGGACTGCAAAATGGCATGCTATTTATGCTCCATTTGTGATCCGTTTACCATCCCAGAATGCAAATATGTTTAAGGGAGGGATCATTATTTGCTTTATGCAGGAATACCCAGGTGTCTGTCTCTCAGCCGCCATCCACAGCAATTATTCTGAAATGGGAAACAAAAATTTTGGAGGTTCATTAGGAGGGCCGGGATTTGCCTTTGCCTTGCAACTGGTTTTCCTTCCATTGGTTGCATTATCCAGAACGGAGACTGGAGCAAAGGCCTTGGCAAGTTTTCACTCCTGGCCATCAGCAGCTGAGCAGCAAGTAATTTTACCCTTGGGTTTCATGACTTGATGGATGTGTGTGTTTCGGATGTGCATTACTTCACTGGAGAAGCACCCAACTAACGTTTCTGCTTCCCCCTTCCTCCCCTTCCACGCTTCACAACTGATCCTGCTTTCGTGATAGATTAAAGCAACCCTCTCCCCCACAGGCCTCCCAGGAAAGCAGCGAACCATCAGCCTGAAAGGAAGACTCTGAAGATCACGTCAAGCAGCTCCATCTTGCCTGCAACGAAATCAAGCCCCCGTTTGGTGGGACTCTGGAAGGCACCTAGTTCTTCCTGCCCCAGAGACTGAGAAAGTCCTGATTTACCATGCTAGGTTCAAACCCACCCGATGTCAGAGGGGCACAGGGCAGTTCAGGAGGCAGAACTCCCCCCTCTCTTCTGCCCCTTTGCAGCCAGTATGGAAAGAACTGCGCGCTCTGCCCCCCGAGGGCAGGAACCCAGCGAGGAGAGAGGAATGAGGCGGCTTTTCGGGGGCTGAGGGTCCCGGAGAAAGCAGGATACGTGCGTCACTGGTCCCTCCGCAGCCAGGCACACCAGGCTAGATGGCCCAAAGTCCGTCTAGCAGAAGGCCCGCACTGCAAGACTTGGGTGAATGTCAGACTCGGGGCTTCGGGCCATCACAAATAGGGCCGCGTCCTGCAGTCAGTCAGTCCACACTTCTGCCTGTTGGCAGGCTGGTGCTGCCACCTTTTGAGGCCCTGCTGCTGCGAGGGGGCCCAGGCAGGCCCCGCAGCCCCGGCCTGGGGGAACCGCTGGCGCTCCAAGGGCGCTTCGGCATCTGTCAACCAGGGCTTCACTCCGGCGTGCGGACGAGCGGTTCCAAGGACTTGCGCCCCAGCCGGTTTCCGCCGCAGCCTTTCCTCCGTCATTCACAGGCTGTGCCTTTCTTTTTTTAGCCCTCTTGGGCAGAGCACCCTTTGGAGCAGAAATGTGAACGTTCCACATTTTAAGTTGTGTTCTTCTGTGTTACAATTTAGTATCCATACATTTATGCCCAGCCTAGATTTTAGGGGCTCTGGCATTGCTTAGAAACCTCCCCGAAAGCTTCCGCTACTGGATGGTATAAAAGAAGATAGTAAGCTTGCTTCCCTCAGGCGTGATCCTATGCCCGCTTGGCCATAGGATTATTCAGTGTCCCAGCGCCGAAATCCTGCGATCTCAGAGCTGGGGCTCAAAAGGCTGAGCCCCCACTCTGTCCGCCTCTCGGCCAGAGTCATGCCAAGAAGAATCATGCCAAGTCCAACCTCAAATGCTCTCTGGAAGGGAGAAAGGGGCTGCTCGTGGGGCGAGGAGGGAAGGTGGCTGAAAGGCAGGACTGGGGCATCCTGGTGCCTTGGTGGGAGAAGAGCCATGTTGGTGTTGTCTTCCTTCCAGCCCCAAATGCTCACCGTAATTGTAGTTTGAGCCCACAACCCTCCAGGTCTGAAGGCATTTGTGCATCATTGGTGGGGCAGACAGCACTATACCCTAAGAAAGCGAATAAAGATCCAACAGACAAAAGAAACAGGACACATCCAAAAGGTGAAGAATGTTTTCTTTCTGTTTCTTTACACAACTCCCCCGCAACCAGACTTTATCTATAAAGGTGCCTCCCCTCCCCACCCTCCCCGCCTCCTCAAAAGCGCCATATTAAAATTCTGTGAATACAGCTATATATTAAATACAGTAACAACATTTCATGCACAGATTCGTTTTTCTGTATAGCAGAATCAGCTTCAGTAGTATCGTCTGGTCTATACATTCCCCAGCTTGGCAACTCTCCTGACCATTGAATGTTTTATTTTATACAATGCTGGTGATAAGGAACAGAAGGGTGATCGGAAATTGTTTTGGCATTTGCTTCCTATGAGATTGTCATCTCACATCATGCCTGCAAAGACTCCCGGAGGCTGACGTGTGAGCAATTTCTCCCCACAGGGTAGCAATCCTAGACTGAGGTTAGATGCACCTTTCAGATTTTGGCCCACTGAAATTGCAGGGTGACTGTTTGATATAAATGGAAGCTGTGGCTGATGCACTGCCTTGGAAGAAGACGAATTAGCAACTTGTACGAGTCCAGCTGCATTCAGTGAAACTCACTCCCAGGCAGAGTTAAGCGAAAGGTTTTTGCTTTCACCTTTTTGCAACCCCAATGTTCTTTCTGCCCTAAATATGAAGACACTGGTGAACGTGAGCAAATTTGCATCAGAATGACTCATCTGCATGGCCAAATTCAACAGGTACAGCTTTGTCCAGCGGAGACTGGCCATGTTTAGTGGTGATCACATTTATATGGAAGGAATCCAAGGTGGAATAGATGCTCCCCTCCACCATTTTATCCTCACAACTACTGAGAGCCAGGGATTGGCCCAAAATCACCTGGTAAGCTTCACAGTTGAGGGGGGGACTAAAACGTGGTTCCATCAAGTCCAGTGCTCTAACCACTATGCAGTATTATTATGCATGCCTGATGTATCGATGAGGAACCTGCTAGCAAAAACGATGTGGCAACCTCAATCCAGCACAATCCATACGTTCAAGAACTAAACTCCCCAGGCCTCTACAGAGGCATCAGACCCTTTCATTTCTTCCCACTTTCGCAATTTTCTCTTGTTCTCTCGACCCTGGATAGGAAGGAATGTGTGCATTTAGGTAACTCCTTAACAAAAACAAACTGAAACAAGAGAAGTGTGTTTAGCAGAGGAAGGGAAATGGTGCCCTGCACAGGTTGTTGGGACACAGCTTCTAACATCCCTGACTAAGCAGGCTGGGACTGACGGGAGTTGTAGTCCAACATCTGCAGGACCACAGGATACCCATACCTGGTAGAGGGATCGTATTCAAACAGTGTGGCCAGAGCTAGGACTGCTCAGGGTTAAGCCCCATTCACTTCAATGGGATGTCCACCCATGTATAGTAGTGTATTGGCACTGTGCTCAACCTGGTGCCCCCGTCATGTAGGCCTGTGGCCTGAAAATAAATACCACATATTCAAATTGGACTGGATCCTTGTTTAACAGTCATGGATTTCCCCTGAGAACTGTAGGCATTTTAACATGCATATTAAAATATGTGCTAAGAACCAGTATGATTAGAATGGTGGAAAAAACATTTCCAGTTTTGATTGTCAATGGGAACTGGCAATTTTGGCATGGTAGAGATCCCCCCCCCACCCCAATTTAGAAGAAATGCTCATTTTACTATCAGCAGCTCCACTTGGAGGAATGTAAGGAGAGCCCCTTGTGGGCAGTAGAAAGAATTAGGATAAAAAGCCACAAGAATGCACAAAAATTAAAAAAGAAATCTTCATTGCTTCAGGCTCTCAAGTTCCACACTCCGAAAAGAGACTCCTCCATGGCTTGTCTGGGTGGGAGACAGGACAGAAAAGATTCCGAAAAAACTGGTTTAAGTTCAATACCAGGTGGAGGGAAAGGAAAACGAATACAACACATGTTTCAGTTTGCCACCTTGTGTTCCAGAAGTGCTCTTGTGTCTTTAACCTGTCCGCACATGACCAGCAAGAACAGTCATAGATTCAGATTTTTAGCATGCAAATGAGCTCAGATAATACAGTAACCGACACCCAAGGGTTGAGTGTGGGTTGTTGTTGAACTGTGTCTAAACCTAATTTGCAGTGCCAAGGCCATGGCCAGGTAACCATAAACAACTAATGAGGAGAAACCATGATTGTAGGTCATTCACCATGGTCTATTCTGGCTGGGTTCAGACAGCAGAAAGAACAAACCATGATGAACTGTACAGACTTCACAACCCAACAATTACAAGCCATGGCTTATTCATGCAGCTGAGTTCAGACAACATGCTAATCCACAATTCAACAGCAATCCAATATCAAGCCACACACAACACATCCTTACGTTTCTGAACCGGGATATCTACTAGCTATGTTGGCTAACTATGTAGCTTTCCCCTTCCTGAATTAAAGAACAACTTCTGCTTAGTAAAAACATCCCAATTCCGCAAGTCCATGCTCTGAAGTCTGCATGGAATGATACTGGTGTGAACGATCCTGAAAGCTCTTGGAGAAAAAAAGAGTAAAAAGTCCCTGGATCAGGAGAGCAGAAACTCTCTACCCCTCTTCCCTATCCCATACTCTCAGCCCTGGCCTCCCCCTGCACCCCACATTGCAGCAAAAGCATGAGCCAAATTGTGGCAATTTTGCTGTACAAGAAGTGTTCCTGGCACGACCCCAAATACCCCGAGCTTGTGCTGCTGCAGGAAAGCTGGAATGCAAGGGGACCCCCCCTGAGATGACGGACAGGGGCCGTTCTCCGAGAAGCCCGTTCTACGGGGCCACATTCATTTACCAGTGCAAGCGGGCCCAAAGCTCCCACTTCAGCTGGATGGGGCCCAGCTGAATTGGGCTGACATTGCATCTCCCACAAAGAGAACGGCAAGAATTACACAACTGAACCCAGTCTCCCTGTCCCAAGCCTGGAATTTGGGGTGGGGACGGGACAGTTGGGGCGGGATGTGGGATGTGTAGACAATTCCTGGTACACCCCCTCTGCAATCCCCGGCATCTCATTATGGCTCATTCTGATCCACATTTAGCCATACCTAATGCAGTCTCGGATGGGGCTGAAATCAGCCATTTGCCGAAGTCCCACAGATTTCTTTCTGTCTGCTCTAAGTAGAACTAAATCTGGAATCTCATGAGGAACATCATGTGGGAACTTGCAAGTGTTTGCCTTGTAAGCCGTTTGTCTAGAATAATGCAATTTTAACAGTACTTTCAAGTCATGGGTCTAGTCCTGTTCAGGGCTGAAGGCAAGGTCTGGGTGCCAGAGAAGACTCTTGCCCGGGAGCCATCGGTGGGGGGGGGGGGGTCTTCCTGTCCTCGCAGAGGCATGGCAGCCTTACGGGATGGGGGCCACGATGCCAAAAGGAGGAAACCAGCAAATGGCTAGGGCACAACTAGGGCTTCAGAAAGGATGTTTTCAGCCCTGGGACTAAGTTCCCACTTCACTGGTATATTAGTTCAAAATTAGTTACCCTTGCATTAAAAATCTGGATGAACTCCACACGAACCTTCTTAGCTAGCTTTTCCCCCAGGGCAAGAACAGCCTCTGAGACGCTTCAGTGAATTTGCACCAGTCTTACCAAGATCTAGAACTCATTAACTATTTGTTAAAAAGCACCGGAATTTTCCTAGCCCAGCTCCAGCAGGGCCTGGTGAAAGTTTCTTTCACAGAAACAGGTCTAGAATTCAAAGACAGTGGGCTGATTTAAGTCCATCCTGCCTCCAGCAATACCCTGTTACAGCCAGATAACCTTCAGATTGGGTTTCACAGCATTTCAGAAATTTGTCCCTAAACATTATGCTCTGATAACAGATGGAAAGGCTTCAAATTAGGGCCGTACACCTGGGTATTTGCACCTCATTTCTGCCACTGTTCCCCACCAGGTGCATGAATGTCTGCAGATCATATTGCGTACCTACTAGTATCCACTGTCTGGTTTGCTCAGCAGATTTCCTCTTTCCATTTAAAAAAATCATTAGAAATTAGAAAGGCGATTGTCAAAGCTTAAGTATGTTGCCCTTTTTCGTCTACAAATATCAAAGATGGCTGTCCCATTCTTACAGCACCCAAATGCATCTATGGAGGCCTGTGGCTCAATTCTAATCTAGGACAAATCTGCCAAGTTTAATTTCTCATACATTTTCACTTTCCAGAGCTAATCTTTTCCCCATCCCCATCCCACGCTGGACTGCAATTTCATTTTTTGTCTGCCAGGAACATGGTATGCATTTTCATGTGAATTTCTTATATAAAAATCAATTTCTTTGTATGCATTTTTGTAAAGTACACTGTGGCCCACTGAATAGAGCAAGTTTGGTGCAGATTTTACAAATTTTGCAGTTTTTCTGTCTTATTTTTGCAACTGCATAAGCCACTTCAGAATTGTGTGGACTTTCGGAAGGAAATTCATGCCTGTTTGTTTCAAGGCCCCAGAAGGATGAATTTAGTATGCAATCCACTTGTATTTTCACCCATTTCCTAGTTGTTGCACCAAGTGACTGGGCCTACAACGCCCACCAGTCCTAGTCCCAAGTCTCCCATATGCTGGCTAGGGAATTACGGGCATTGTAGTCCAATACAACCAGAGGGCAAGATGCATATTCAAGATGCATATTCCTACATGTCCCTACTTCTCATGCAGTGGAGGTTGGTGACCCAATGTCAGTGGGGCGGTGTATCCATTGCAAATGTCAGTCTGGATGTTTCAGGACACAGTGATGGTGCTGAACCCTGACCCTAAAAGAGGTTCAGCACTATGAATAACTCCTTTCAAATTCTGGCTGAAATCTGGAGTGGGTGCACAGCCCCCCTGCCTTCCAAGACACCCGGCCACTGCCGGTTCTCAGGGAGAGACAAGTCCCAAGCATACAGTCTAGGCGGCCATGCTACTCTTCCACAGGCCCCATGCGCCTGACGTCACGGTCTTTACCGATCTGGCACTTTTCAAACCATCTGGAGTTGCGGGTGGCCCTTGTCTTGCGGCAGAGCTTGGAAAGCGAAGTGGGGACGGGGACGAGGGAACACAGTCGTTGCAAGGACAAGGCGGGGCTGGCACGAGAGCTTGGGGACACGTCCTCCCTCTGGAACCCGAAGCACCTGGGCCTGAAGGAAGTCAGGGGGAGTTTTAGCCCGAGGTGGGACATAAAGGAACCAATCCGAGCAGCCAAAATGCCCACTGAGCAGCAACAGGCCCAAGGAAATCATGTGCAACCGCCTGATAGCTATAAAAGGCGACCAAGTCAGTCCCAGCTGCTAGTTTTCCTGCGACAGAAGTCTTGCTGCCCTGGCCCAGCCTGGGACACTGCATCACTCTTCCGCCTCCCGCCTCACCCAGAGCTGTGCCTGGCCAGAAATCTCACCCTGAACGGATCACAAACTGTGCCTTTCCGCCTCAAGAGAGAAAAATGCAGTTATTGGGGCACCGAAAGCAGACAGAGAAAAGAAACGGCTGGGGGAAGGAGCAATCCAATCTTCAGAAGCAATTCTCGAAGGACCTGAGTTTTCCCTGCCTCCATGACAGAGCAAATTCTATCCCCCAAAATCCCCCCACCCATCCCATAATTTAGCTACCCAGTATTTGCATCATTCTGTACAGGGGGGGAGGGGGGAAGCTACATAACAAAAGTAAAAAGAAAAACAAAATCAGTTTTTCATTTCTTCTGACGATTCACCCGCATTAAGTCCGAGACTTCGAAGACATGCGAAGTTCCTTGCTGGCTTCCGGTGATGTTCGGCATGCAAGTTTTTCAGTCCCAGATTGGTGTTGGAGTTCTTTCGTAGAGCGACTTGGCTTCTTCACGTCATTCATTTCCTGGTCTCCTTGCCTGGGGATGGGGTGATGGGTGGGAGGGAGAGATGGGAAATACCTGTAAGTTATCTAGCCATGAGCGTGCAGTAGGTCCTAAAGGGCAACCGTCTGGCCAAACTTCCGTGGAATGAAAATGTATGGAAAAGCTCATTTAGTGCCAGCACTGAGACTTTCCTCTGCTCCCAGGCCATCTGATGGCATATGATGGAGCTACTTAATGCTTCATTTTATTCATTCCTGGTATTTTACACTTAATTAATTTCTTAGCTGTTCCAAAGAGGGTTATTTATCTATTGATCTGCAACTTTTTTTACTCTGCTCTTCAGTCAAAAAGGGCCTTCCAAGGATGAAGAATAGGACTGCCTCTGACCATCTAAAAGACATGACACAAAAGAAGAGGGAGGCTGAGGGAAGAGGAAATAGGCGGCCACAAAGCTTGGCCATTCGTGCTTTGTTCCAAAGTTCTCATGGGTGTTCTTTCTGGTGGGGATGGGGGGAACAAACTCCTTTGGAAATACTCGTATATTAATTTTTAAACTTGTGGTTCTAATTTGAATAGCTTGAGGAGTTCTGGTTTCTACAGAAATGTAAGGAATGGAAGGGCCAGCTTCGGCTTGGACCATCCTCGAAGCCTCCAAATTTTCCCACAAAACACCCCGAGCTGCCGGTCAGACTCAGGCCCGTCCAGCCCAGCCTTCAGTCGACGGAGTGGCCACCTGCAGAATAGCACAAGCAAGACAAGAGTGTCACAGCACCCTCTCACCCATGCTCCCCAGCAGCATGCACATGGATAGCCTGCCTCTGGAGGTAGCCTAATGCCATGAGGACTAGCAGCCACTGATAGCCTTCTCCCAATCCTTTTTAAAGCTGCCCAAATTAGCAGCCATCTCGCCGTCCTGTGGAAGTGAATTCAGTGCTGTGCAGCGGGAGGAAGGCCTTCTTTGGTCTGCCCTGGGACCCCCGCCCATGTTTTCTCCCTCTCCCCTAAGACTAGAACCCGAAGGGCACATTCCCCCAAGGGGGGGCTGGTCTTAGGGGAGGGGGAGCAAAATGCCCCCCAGCCCCCTTCCTAGAAGGGTCCGGCAGGAGTCAGGCTCTTCCTAACTGCCCCTTCCCCACCCAACCCCAAAAACTCTTCCAGCCAAGGGCACGGAATTGGCCTTCCCCTTCCTTGCCACGTCCGAATTCGGCTGCAAGGTAACAGCAGAGCCGAGAGAAATGACCTTACAAGGCCAGGCCTTGTCAGCAACGAAGGCGGGCTCTCGCTCTGCCATGCGAAAAAGTCACCGCCGAGGTGAGGCTGTCCTCGCAGCAGCCTTTTATGGTCTCCCCACAGAGAGGTCAAGGAGGCAGCCGAAAAGCGCCTGGGGAGAATGTGCCAATTCCAGTGTGCTGGACGCTCCAGAGGGCGCAGAGGCGGAAGGCTGGTCCAGGGGCTGGGGAGCCGGGCTCGGGTCGCCACTCAGCCAAGGGCGAACGCACCACTTCTGAAACTTGCGTTTTTGTGCTTTAGCCAAAGGAGGGAACGTGAGCACTTTCCAAACATGCACTCAGATAACAGCCACCGGACAGCAGATGTCCGTGACTCCCCGTCTCCGGGCTTTCCCAAAAGCAGAGCAGCACATTTCAAGGCAATGCCTTCTCATTGTTCCCGCCAGTCTCATGGAATCGCAGGCAAAGAGGTGACCTTCTGCCATGTTGGAATACAACTCCCATGAACCCCTGATGGGCATTGTAGTTGGAAACGTCTGCAGGGCTCCAAATTGCTCACCCCCTCGTGACACCATGCCTGGTTTTGCCTCTTCCCATTGTGGGTTGCTAACATGCAGATGTGCACGCAAACATCGTTAAAACGCGGTCCACAGCACGGCAAAGGAGGAGATGCTTCCATCTCGCTTCCGTCCCAAGGGGGCGTGTGGCGTCTCTGGCCCAGGGATCAGGTGGTGCTGACCCACCCGTGGCGAAGGACCAGGGACACTGCCTAAAGGGTCGAGCACGAGGCCAAGGTGGGCTCCACCATGCCGAGTTTCCCTGAACAGCAAGGTATTTTGGGGAGGCATGGAAAGCAACCCCAGGGTGGGCAGTTTTGCAGAAACGGGGCCCCCACACTGAAGGCTCTGCTGCAGGGGACACCGATCGGTCCGCCAGAGGTCCCACTGGAAGCATTCTGTCCAACGACCACAGGGGCCGCCGGGCGCGTGCTGCAGAGGTTGCTCCTGCAGGTATCCCAGTCCCAAGTTCTTTAGGGCTTTGTGCAGGAGTACAAAAATCTTAAACCTGGCCTGGTAGCCCTTGCACTTCTCCCGGAAAGGAGTGACACGCCAGAAGAGGCCCCGAGCTGGCCTCCTCCTCCTCTCCATTTGTCGCGAGTCGAGCTTCTCCCTCCCAGCAGTAAGAGTCTCAACAGCCACCTCCTGGCCAAGCCTCTTTCTTCCGCATGCAAGTCTCTGAGCATACGCAGAGCAAAAGGTTGAGCCCTCTCTGACACTCTTCAGCCAAAGCTTTGCTGATGGACCTTCAGGGCCCGTCTCAGGAAGGAGGGGCGCTGTTCCATCAGGCACATTGCCCCACTCCCTCAGAGACCCCAACCAGCCCACCCCACGGCTGTGACAACAGACAACCAGCCCCACCTCCCCAAGGGACAGGAGGTCCCCTTCTCTAAACTTCCTCCCTCGGGGCATTCTTGCTCCTCCCCATCCCCCTCAGCTGCCCCTAAGCTAATCCCCCCATAGCAGGCACAGGGAGGGCCCTGAGACTTGGACTGCAGCTGGAACTGGATCCGTTTCAACCATTGTCTTGCGATCGAAGCCTGAGCTGTCAGCCCTGCTAGGATGGGCCACCTCCCCACCTGCATCTCAGCCTTGGGCTCTGAGCTGTCCGCCTCCCCAAAACGGGGGGCCTCTTGCATGCGCCCCGAGGTCATCGAGAACATGCTAGCATCATGATATCTCCACAACAACCCTATGAGGTAGGCGAGGCCAAGATTCAGCAACTGACCCAAAGCTGTAAGCGCCAAGGGACTAGAACTCGATCTCCCATGTCCCAGTCCAGCTCTAACCACTACAGAGCACTGCCTCTTGCTCTTCTGCTATTTCTTATTTGCTCCTGGATGGCAGGCTGACTGGGCGTGAGGGTGCCTGCTCCATACAGTCACACATATTTGCACGTGGGCACACTGCCTTCCAGGCACGACCTCAGCAGACGCTGAACTGCGGGGACCAGGCTGGCGGCTCACTCACCGTCTAAATGGTTGCGGGACAGGTACTTCAGGCCTTCATCCAGCAAGATAACCGGCAGCGAGATCTTCAGCACCATCACCCACTGAGGCCAGCTAAGCGGCGTCACCTGGAAGATGAGCTGCAAAACAAGAAGGTGACCTGAGAGGCCGGATGCAGCGGAAGCCCCCGACCCCGATGCGGGAGCCAGGGCTGAGCAGCCTTGAAGGATGTGAGTTTGATTCGAAATTTGGGATGTGCCACCAAGCTGTCCAAAATGCCCTGTCCCCACTCAGCTCTTGGGAACCCGAGGCTCAGCTTCTTTTCAGGAATTGGTTATTTTATTTCATTTCATTTCCATAGCACTCCATAGCAGAAGCTTTCTGGGCAGTTTGCAGCAGCTGGAATCAATCCATCTCATAGCTGGCTTTGCATTTTTTTTTCTTTCCTATAATGATTGTCTTATTCAGGGAGTTGCTGCGGACAAAGCTGTAGGTGGTCAAAAAGGGAAAACCCCAAAGCCCCCCAAATGTGGGAGGAGAAACCCCAAGCAGCCCAGTGAGGACGCACATGCCTGATGGCTGCGGCAGAAAATGGAAAAACCGGCCGGGGGGGTGGGGGGGCGTGCGCCGGATCTGGGCGTGCCGGATCAGTGCGAAAGGGCGTGCCACATGGGAAGCTTTGTGCTTCCAAGTCTCACTTCTTGGATGCAAGCTTTTAAAAAAGAAATACCTTGATATGCACACAAATTGCGCACATGTTTTCACACAAACACCACCAAAAATGAAACAAAAAGAAAAAACCTCAGGATGAACCAGAAGTGTGAGTGGAAACTAAACCGAGTCAAACCCAAGCTGGCAGTTCTATCCACGGAGTTGCTGCAGAGCAGCTGTGAGAAGCCACTGGCTGGGTCAGGTGGGGGCACTCGTGGGTGCCCAGGTGTGTTGGACTTCAGCTCCCATCAAACCCTCACCTTGACTGACTATTGCCGATGGGAATCGCAGTGAATTTCCAATTCAATACATGTATTGTTGTAACCACAGGTCATAACATAACACAAGTGCCATAAAACACCATAAAATAGTAATAATAAAACCATGAGAGTAAAATGATAAAAGAAAATAATTAAAGTTGTAAACAAAAGGGTACAACAAAATAGGGCCAATGCTACAACTAAGAACGTGAAATTTTCTTTCTGAGTTTACAGGAGAGCAGAGCAAAGGTGGCAACTTGATTGCTGACAACTGAGAGCACGTCTGCGAGGATATAGATTCGTTCTTCAGGGCCTGAGTCGTTAAGTGCTTCTACCTTAATAATTTGGTCCCAATCTCACTGCAAATGGGGCAGCGGAGGATGCAGTGAACCACGTTCTCCACTTGGCCAGCACCACCGGGGCAGACTCATCGTTCAACAGGGAGCTGATGATGGAAGTCGCCGTCACCGACTTCTGGAGGGCAGCAAATGGCCCACCAGGCCCAGGCGGATGAGTGCTCCGATTCTGGACAACAGTTGCCTTGCTACTGCTGGTCCTGGGAGGGGCCACGTTTGGCCCCAAAGTCTTTCCCAGCTAAGAATGGGGGTGGGGGGGGCCCTTTGTCAGCATCTTCCTTCAGGGCCACGGCTTAGTCGCTCAGCTTGTAGGTCCTGCTACATACCGGCAATGGCTTCACAGAGAGAATGAGAAAATGCAGCGCCATCGACATGACAATGGCCCCCAGAAGCCAAATGTTAAGCCAAGGGGGCATCCGCAGCAGGGACTGGTTTTCAGAGACGCTGTAGAAGAGAGACAGAAGTCTCCTTTAGTTCCACAAGTCAGAAGCAGAAGTGATCCCCTCTTTCCTGTAGTTCCACAAGTCACTTTTCCCCTTAAAGAGCTTTTCCCAGCAGGGAGAAATGAGAGAGAGAACAGAGCTACTTTCTGTTTTCCTCTTCCCTCCCCTTCCCTATTTCCTTTACTGTCATGTCTACTTGGATTGTAAGTGTGTCACTGATTATAAAAACAACCTGGGTGCTTCCTTTACCATGGAGCAGGATTAACCATGCTTTAAAAAAAATAACTTCCATGCAAGGGCCCCCATCAGATGTAAGGAACTTGTAACACAAGGTTACTCACATTCTCCAAGCCTGCAAAAACCATGACTTGTGTATAGGAAAAGTGCAATGCATACGAACATGCATGAACGTATTTAAAGATATCAGAATTTATTCCACAGATGAGCATGCTTATCTGAGTTATTTTTTCACCAATGTGGTCCAGGAACATGTACAAATTGCAAGATTGTTTGCACATCTGTGTGTTGGCTGTCCAGTTGAGGACTATTTTGCCCTCATTAGCAAGTTTCCCTTATTTCGCATGTCTTATCCAGAATTTCTTGAAAATGGGGCAGTAGGAAAGGTTCACCTGGCAGGTGATGTCGTACCTGTTGAGTGCATTACACATCTCGATGGTCACAAGCACGGAGAGCGCCATGGTGGTCGGGTAGCGAGATTCAAAGATTCCACAGTTGACGCCTTCGAAGACGGGGTTGTCCTCCGTACATCTCATGAAGTTCCTCTGTGGGCGGAGAACACAGCCGCAACCCTGCAGCAGGGGCTGGTGCCAGCGGACACCCACTGTGCTTTCCCTGTCCCTCGGGTACTGAAGGACCTCACACCTACTGGGTGCTATTCCCCCCCGCTCAGTCCACCAGGAACGCGAGCAGGCGGGGCTGCTGCATTCAGGCCCCTCTTGGGGTTTTGTCGCTGCTGCTGGCTGGTCACCGTGTGAGCAGAACGCTGGATGGGTGGAAGCTCTTTCGGCCCCTTCTCACGTTCTTACTTATTTTATTAGATTTACATCCTGCCTGTTTTCTTTTCTAAAGAACCTGAAGCAGTTTGCACCATTCTTCCTCCTGCGCTCTCTGTCTTATCCCCACAACAACAACCCTGTGAGGTAGGCTGGGCTAAGAGGCTGTGATTGGCCCAGTATGTTCAACAGGGGATTGCAGCTTGTTTTAAACCAGTCCTGGATCACCTGCCAGGTAGTGGTTGAAGGATGCCTGCATTTGGCTGCCTGACCTCTTTCCATATCACATATTTACGATAAGAACTGGAGTCTGAATTGGTTTTTTCCCTCTTCCCCCCACTCCCCTTTCTTGTTCCTCACATGTCGTATCTTTTAGACTGTAAACATGAGGGCTGGGAAGGTCACACCATTGATCTTTGTAAGCTGCTCTGGAACTTTTTTGCAGCTGAAGTGTGAGATTAACATGCTTAGAATATAGATATAGATGATATAGATAGAAGCAGAGCGAGTCGGAAGGCGTCTCCCGGGCCATCTAGTCTGACCCCCAGCTCCACCCAGCTCCACTCACAACATGCCCACCATGTGCATGTCCAGCCTATCCTTGAACACCCTCACCGAGGGGGCCTCAGCCTCCTCCCGTGGAAGCCCATTCCACACCCTCGGGGTCCCAACTGTTAGGAAGTGCTTCCTGGCATCCAAACTGAACCTGGGTTCCCTGAGCTTTGCTCCCTTGGAGCGCGTCCTGCCTTCCTCTGCAGGGGAGAACAGGTCTCTGCCCACCTCTGTGTGACATCCCCTCACATACCTGCATGTCACCAACAAATCCCCTCTGAGTCGCCTCTTCTCCAGGCTGAAGAGACCCAGTTCCCTCAGTCTCACCTCATACCCCATCCCCTGCAAACTGGCCACCAACCTTGTGGCCCTGCGCTGCACTGACTCCAACCTGGCTATATCCTTTCTGTAATGAGGGGCCCAAAACTGAGCACAATACTCCAGTTGCGGGTGCACCAGAGTCGTGTAGAGTGGTAGTAATACCTCTCTCAATCTCGAAGCCACACTGCTGGCTATTCAACCAAGGGTGGCGTTCGCCCTCTTGGCCACCGCATCACAGTGCTGGCTCATGTTCAGCCTGCAGTCAACCAGCACCCTGAGGTCCCTTTCACAAGTGCTGCTCTCCAACCGCTTGCCCCCTAACCTGTACTTATGACAGCTATTCCTATGCCCCAAGTGCAAACCTTGCACTTATCCGCATTGAACGCCATCCTGTTGTCTCCTGCCCACTTCCATAGTCTGTCCAGATCCTTCTGGATCTGGAGGGGAGGGGAGCGTATTTGGTCAGATCTGCACTGTCAACTTACCAGTTGGTAGAAAGTAACTTGTGGTCCTTCAGCATCGTACAAGAACCACCAGGTAGCTGCACCCACAGTCGCAAAGCCGACGTACACTTCAAGAGAAGGGGAGAGAGGAATTGATAGCTTGCCCAGCCAAGTAGTCCTCATGAAACCGTGCAGCCTTCAGGAGGCACCTGAACAAGTTCTAGCCCAGATGCCTCCTCTTTTAAAGGTACCCAAGTCATTTGCCATGGTTAATTCATCTTACGGGCTGCTGAATCTCTCTCTATGGCTTCTACTTCACCAGCAATCTTTCTTAAGTGTCTTAAAAAGCCCAAGATCATTGTCATGTAAAACACAGAACTGGCAGCCAGAGAACACAAGAACACAAAATAGACACAAGAGAAGAAAGGGGGAAGGGGAGGAAGGAGGAGATTGGAAGAAGAGACACACCAAGTTAAAATCATTTTCAGTCAACGAGTGGCCCAGTTTGGGTAATCGTGGTTTGACTGAATGGGGAAGGAGCACAGGTGGAATGCAAGCACACGGCCTGCGACCTGGGGATGTTTTTATTATTTATTTATTAAAACGTTTTTATGCCGCCCCATTCGCCGAAGCCTCGGGGCGGCTTACAACAAGAAATTAAAACCACATAAATTAAAATATACACATTAGAATAATAATTTAAAATATATATATGTGTGAATATACACACACAACATAAAATAAGCCGCCCTGGCCAGATAAAATTCAATAATATTAACATTTAAAATGCTGCTTAAATAAGAAGGTCTTCGCCTGGTGCTGAAAAACAAATAACGGTTGTTGTGGGTGCGTGTGTGCTTGTGACTGTGTTTGGGGTTTTGAAGGGGCACGCTGGCACATTTTATGGTGAGGTTTATGACCCCTCAAGCAGTTCTTTGAAATGGGCCACTCAAGACAACCATTCCTAATAGCTGGGACTGGGGAAGGAGTTGGCTAAATCCGGAACCACAAACAGGTCGCCCTACAGGTGCTCCCCACATGTCAGAGCTTGGGAGCTTCTTCAGTTTACGAGCTGAATCCAGTTTTGGAGCTCATGGTACAGCAGTTTAGTGCTGGCTGGACCATGTGGTAAAGCTTTACCTGGATTATACCACTCCAGACAGCAGGTGGGGAATCAGTGTGTTTGAATGTGCCTCTGCAAAAACCAAAAGCTAGATCCTCTATGGTAGAAAGCTAGCTAACAGGCCCAGTCTTAGAACTCCCTGACATGCTATCTTTCTATATGCAGAGAGGGTATCGCTGCATTTATGCCTGTGTGTTAGGGAGCATTCAGTGAATGAAATCTTTAACTTACAGCCCTACGTAGAACAGCCCAGGTGAATTCTCTTGTATATGAACACAGGGGCCTGAACAGCAATGGAAGAACCGACAAACACAAGGTGTTGCAGAGAAACAAATGTGTTTCCCCATTATTTTTCCTCACTTGCTCTGTGCTAGATTCTGTGAATGTTGGTACAAGAAGTAGATGTCTAATATTTTTCTCTAAAAGGGGACCATGAACACCAGAGAGAGGGAGAGATTTCTCTTGGAGAACAGCCCAAACTGATCACACTCAAACATCTGAGCATTCTGCACGACCTTCCCCTTTGAAGTGTGAAAACTGCACACTTTCAAATGGCTTTTTGTCTGCGATTTGCAACATTTTCGAATGTGCATGCATTCACAAGAATTCGCAAACATTTTCAGAGGACCGATTCTGCTGCTTGCCCCCTGTGAACGGGGCATGCTCAACCTTTGTGTCCATGACATTGATGTATGTCTTTATTTAATTCCTACACTGCCCTGCAGCCAAAACTCCCCAGACGAACGTGCTGCATAACTGCCCACCCACCTTACCTCCAATGGCAAGGTAGCGAAAGAAGAGCCAGCCGCTGATGAGCGGCTCCCGGGGGTTCCGCGGAAGCTTGTCCATGATGTCAAGGTCCGGGGGGTTGAAGCCAAGCGCGGTGGCCGGCAGCCCGTCAGTCACCAGGTTCACCCAGAGGAGCTGCACTGGAATCAGGGCCTCCGGGAGTCCCAGAATGGCTGTCAGGAAGATGCTGGAAGGGGGGCAGAAGAACGTGTGGGCAGAGCTGTCAGACCCGGCTATTCTTCTCTTCGCTTCTCCTGCCTGCAGTGATGCATGTCTTGGATTTCGACCTAGGTGAACCTTACAGTCCCTCGGAGATGGTTGCAGGGATTATGGGATGGCTCAGAAAACCACCTCGTGCAGAGGGGTACAAGCTCAAGAAAACTCTCTGAGAAAGCATCCCACGGGGAACCTGGAAACAAGGCTGCTGGGAAATCTCCGGTTTCAAGCAATGCCGACATTTCCACGGACTTCAGTGCTGCCGGACTGCAGAGGACAGACGGAGCCAGAGATCTGTGGGATTCTGCATCCGGGAGAGCAGAACTGCACAACCCAGAGAAGTCTTCTGCATTTTCAGCATTTCGTTCTGCCATCCACAGCCTGGCAACCATTTTCATCCACTGCAGTGCCCTGGACTTTGGACGGCAATTGCTACTTGGAGAAAATTTGGAGAAAATTTGGCCGTATCCATCAGGTTTATCGGTGCTCGTGTGGGATCCCAGCAGACACATGCTCCCTCTCTCCAAGTCCCATCAGCTCCAGCCAGCCTGGCCAGAGGTCAGGAATGATGGGAGCTGTGAGTCCAACAAAATCTCCATTGTCCAACAAGATTAGCAGTTCCCCCTTCCTTCCTGCACCCTCCCATCCTAAAAAGAGGTCAAGAAGAAACAGATACTCCACTCGGCTGATGGGGCCAAGAACTCTTACCAGACGACTTCTCCGACATTGGAGGAGATGAGGTACCGGATGAACTGCTTCATGTTGTTGTAGATGGCTCGCCCTTCCTCCACAGCAGCCACAATGGTGGAAAAGTTGTCGTCCGACAGGACCATTTCGGCCGCCGACTTGGCCACAGCCGTGCCCGAGCCCATAGCAATGCCGATTTCAGCTTTCTTCAAAGCTGGGGCGTCATTCACGCCATCCCCTGTCTGGAGAAAGCACGGACACCGCTAGGAGGAGCAGGAGGGTGGTGAGAGCGCTGGAACGTGGACCCAGGAGTTCTGGGTTCAAGTCCCCACTCAGCCATGGGTCTCACTGGACCTGCAGCCCAACCTCCCTCACAGGGCTGTTGCTGTGGGGATAAAAAGATTGCAGAGGAGAACCTTGCCTGACACCTTGGGCTCCTCGCAAGAGGAAAGAAGCAGGATAGAAATGCAATGTCACAACAGCAACAACTTATTACAATTAGCGGTACACGGATCTTTCCCAGTTGCAATGCATGGCTGGGAAAGCTGGACCACAAGGAAGGCTGAGTGCCGAAGAATTGAGGCCTTTGAATTGTGGTGCTGGAGGAGACGCCTGCGAGTCCCTTGGACCGCAAGGCAATCAAACCGGTCAGTCCTGGAGGAGATCAGCCCTGACTGCTACTTAGAAGGCCAGATCCTGACGATGAAGCTCAAATACTTTGGCCACCTAATGAGAAGGAAGGACTCCCTGGAGAAGACCCTGATGCTGTGAACAATAGATGGCAAAAGAAGAAGGGGAGGGCAGAGGATGAGGTGGCTGGAAGGGGTCCCTGGGGCAGTGGGTGTGGGCTTGGGTGGACTCCAGGGGATGGTGGAGGACAGGAAGGCCTGGAGGAGTGTTGTCCATGGGATCGCGATGCGTCGGGCATGACTCTGCGACTGAATGAAACACGACCAAAATCAAACACTGGGTCTGCACAGAGGGTCCATTCGTTATCAAGCTGTGGGCAGACGGACCTCTCGCACACCTGCTTCTGGATTAGGCTTCGCTGAAGGATCACTTCCCCCCACATATACCTGCCCGGCACCTGAAGCCCGTCTCCAAAGGCACCCACCAAACGAGCTGAGCTGAGTGGTTGGTACAGAATGATGGCACCCCAGTTATGACAGGTTTATTCTGCGAGGCCTGTTTGTTCCACAATTTGAAAAGCTGGGTCAGTGTATCATTAGGCAATTGAAGTCCTGCGGACTCTGATCCCGGCTTCCATTTTGCTCATCCTGGTTAGACCTTTTCTAACACTAGGCCTTGACACACTGCCGCATGCCCTGGCGTTAGCGTTTGAGGCCTGCACGTTTGTTCCGTCTACAAGCTCCATCTCGATGCTGGGTCTACTCTGTTGCCCAATGCAAGTACTTTTTGTTGTCTGAACAGAGAACATGTGCACCAAACTGTCTTTTCCCCCGACACACAAAACCATGAAAATACATCTTTTCTCCCAAAAGCCCGTTTTCAAAGTGTACATTTTTCTGACAAACATGCTTTTGGGTGTGTCTGCAAGATCAGAAATGTAGAAGCTGAGCCTCCCCGGAAAAAATGCATTTGCTTTTGCATTAGGGGGTGCAAACAGGGGAAGTTCAGATGTAAACAAACGGAAACAAAATTCTGTTTTTCAAAGGGTTGTGTGGAAAGGGGATAATTTTATCTTAACCAGCCAGTTCAAGCACTTCCCCACCCAAGATATGGATCAGCTCTGTGAACAACTGGAGGTCTGCATCCAGGAACCACAGTCTGGAAACACACACGCACACGTGCTTACCATCGCCGTGATTTCGTTGAACGACTGCAGGTATTCGACTATCTTGGACTTGTGGGCTGGCTCCACCCGGGCAAAGCACCGGGCTGATCGGCAGGCCTGCCGCTGGGCTTCCGGCGAGAGGTCGTCAAACTCCCTGCCCGTGTACGCTTTGTCCGCCACCTCCTCGCTCTCCGAGAAGATCCCAATCCGCCGGCAGATCGCCACAGCTGTCCCCTTGTTGTCTCCGGTGATCATGATGACCCGGATGCCGGCCTTCCGGCACATCTCGATGGACGACGTCACCTCCTTCCGGGGAGGGTCAAGCATCCCCACACAGCCGACGAAGGTCAGGTTTGTCTGTGGGCAAGAGGGGGCCGTGAGTGAGCTGCGGCGGGAGGGGGGAAAGCAGGAGAGAAAGGGGGTGGTAAAGAGAGGGGAAGGGTCTGACCTGCCACCTGCTTGCCGGGGGCTTCCGACAACCCTCCTTGGAGAGAACATGGCCCCCAACTCATCAGGAAGTGCCCCATTGGTGGGAAGCCTTCTGGAAAATGGCAAGGGCCTGGCCTTTTGATTAAACCCATTCTTTGGCTTGGACAAAGAAAGGCACATAAAGATGTCACGGTGACCATGAAGGTGCCGGGGAGTGCCAGCGCCAGGCTGCGGGGAGACCCTGTTGAGATCCCCTCCATGCATCCCGCCCTCCTGGCGAGGCCCCTTTCTCTCCACCACGCCCCCCTCTGCTCTTTGACCCCCCTTCTTCCTCAACATGGCCAGCCCTCTTGGCGGGGAAGAGCCTGGGCAGAGGCCACGGCACCTCTGAGTCCCCCTTCGCGCTGCACCCACGTTCTGGACCAAGAGGTGGGTGAACAAGCAGGTCACGCCAAAGAAGCTGCCGGGGGCTCCTTCCAGGGGGCCCTGCTGGGGCCTTTCCTGCGTGCCCCACTGGCCCTGCCCGCCGCCCGGGCTTCACCTCCCCGCAAGCCGGCTTACTTCGTAGTTGATGAACTGGCTGGAGTCGTCCAGCACCATGTCCTCCTTGCGGGGTGGGTGGTCCCTCGTGGCCAGTGCCAGGCAGCGCAGCGTGTCGATGCCCGTGCCCCAGTCCCGAATTTTGGAGAGGATCTTCTCTTTGGTGGAGAGCGTCAGCGGGACGCGGGTGCTGCCCACACGGACGTAGTTGCAGCGCTCAAGGACACTTTCTGGAGCACCCTGGAGAAATCGGAAGCGTAGATTTGGTCCCGTAAGGGAAAGAGAAACCGGGCAGAGCTGCTGGGAAGGGCCACAGACAATCGGAGGGGCGCTAGTTCTCTGAGCCGAACTTTCCCGGAGCATCCAGACACTGGATGCAGGGTTCCCTGCCTTTTGGGGCTCGTGGGCACACCTGGGGTTTTGGAAGGAAGCACAAGGGCCGTGGCCAAGCACATCATGTCATGGCAAATGTGCGAGTCCAAGAGTGAACACAGCCTGGGCCGGGCGCTCAGCACAAGGCAGGGGTGGGCCCAGAGCTTCGAAATGCAAGAGAGTCTCACAGGCTCAAGCTGGCACGAATCCTGATTCGTTTTATGAACCGATAGTCCTAATGAGGAGAAACCCTCACCATACAAAACACTCTGGGTACTATAAAGAACTCTGAACAAAAAAAGGAAGTATTGTAGATCGTCCTTGTTAAGCGAATCATTTGACTGACAGGAAGAGCTCTGGAACCGCGTCTCCTCCTAAGTGATTGCATTTTTTAGTATTACATTGATAAGCAACGCAACCCTCGTGGAATATGGCTGTTTGTTGGTACAATTCACTTTTTGGTTGGTTCGCTCATTCATTTTAGCATCTGGTAGAACAAGAATATTATTTGAAAAAGGGAATCCATTCTTTGGATCCCAAACCAGATAAGGCTGGAAGGCTGGGCTTCTTTTTGCAGTGTTCCAATCCATGGTTAAAAAGATTTTTTTTTAAATGTTAAGAAATAAATGGAGACCAAGTTAAGGTGCGGGGAGCCAGGGGGGTGCAAACTGCTCAGTGCTGTGCTCGTCTTCCCAGTCCGAGTTTCTTATTTCTCATAATATCCGCACATGGTGCTCCTGGCTGCAGTCGCTGTGCAAACATCGGGCTGCCAAAGAAAGCGGAGGGTTTGTTGAGTTGAGCAGCTGTCCTTCCTTGCTCAGGCCAGGACTGTGAGCAGAGCTGCTGCCAGACAGAAATAGCCAGATGCAGGGAGCGACTGTGCTCACTCTCTTAAAATAAGGGGATGCAAGCCATTGAGGAGGTTTAGGTAGAGGAACGCATAAGATCAGAGGTAGAGCTATGCTGGATCAGAGTCGGAGTCCATCAAGTCCCAGCATTCTGCTCATGTGGTGGCTGACCAGTTGCCCCACAGGAAATCCACGAGCAGGGCAGAAGTGCAGCAGCACTCTACCACCTATGTTCCCCAGCGACTTCCCAGCATACTGCCCCGATACTGGAGGTGGCACAAAGCCATGAGGACTAGTAGCACAGGTAGCTGCCTCCTCCATGAATTTGTCCAAGAACCTTTTAAAGCCATCCAGATTAGCAGTCTTCACTATAACCTTGTGGAAGTGAATTCCATAACTCATTTGCTGTACAAAGTAGAACTTCTCTTTCTTTGTCTAGCATCTCCCACCCATCAGCATCGTGGAATGAGAACACTGGGTTGTCATTTTATGTTCTTACGCACACCTGCATCATGTTGCAAGCGTCTTCTTTTTTGTTTTTGCGTAAAAATCCATGCATTTTTCATGTATTTCCCCCAAACGTGTGCATCCAATATGCACATCTTTGAAATGGGCACATTCTTTTCCCACCACTGAAACAGAACTGTGTGTGCAGTTTTCAAAAGTCTGCATGTTTCGTGCACATTTTTCATGCCTATGCATCAATTTCAGGCTGTGGATCACATCCAGAAATGTTGCAAGCAGCGAGGTATGCGGAACCTATATTTTGGAGGTGGGATTCTTCAGACGTCCTGGGCTCAGTCCCACAGACTCACACCGGGCGTCTGGCAGGAAACGAGTCCCAGGAAGTGCTCGGGGCCGGCTTGTACACGCGTTGCCCACCGCCCGCCCACCAGGCAAGCAAGGTGCATCTTCAGAGCATGTGATGTGCAGGCTTTTTGCAAAGAACTGTAACCCTGAGCGAAATGGCGATCCACTCAGTGCTTCTGGGCAGTCACAGAGTTCAGCCCAGCTTTCTTCCTGGCACTAGAAAGAGGCCCAGCCAGGGCAAGAGAGCCGCATCCCGTCTGGATCTTTGCACACCTACTTGTGATTCTAATAGAAAAGTGCATCCAGCAAACCTCCCACCTGCCCAGCCCTGTCCAAGCCACCCATCGGCACCTGGCCCTCAGGAAGTTCGCCAGTGCCTCTAGATGGCGCTCTCGCGTCATTCCTCAGTGCCATGTCTGCTTTGGACAGCCAGGGCGGCCCAAGCACCAGACTGAGGAAGGCAGCTGGCGGTGGAGGAGAAATCTTTTATTTCCTTATATGTTCATATATCAGTCCTATTTCTGTTCTGCTAAATAGTGAGGGAAAGCTCTAAGCCGTTTCCATGCAAATATTAAAATTGCAAATAATATCATCTTTAAAATGCAGTTCTTAAAATAATACCAGAACATTACGGACCTGCATGGGAACCGCAAAGTGGAGGAGAGCGGCTCGTTGAATTGCGGGGCAGCAGAAACATGAGAAAGAGGTGAGTCCTCAGGAAGCCTTTAAAAGAGACGAGATTTTCTGCCTCCTGAACTGTCCAGGGGAAGCTTTTTGGGGTGGGGGGGCTGAGAAGGGAAGTCACAGCAAGGCACCCTGGTAATAAGCCGCCTGGTTGTAAGCCGCCCCGAGGCTTCGGCGAATGGGGCGGCATGAAAATGTTTTAATAAATAAATAAATAAATAAATAAATAAATAAATACTGGGACGGACACAAGGGTGTTCCCATTGCTCTTCACAGTCAGGCGGAAGATGGTCTGCTAGAAATGCGATAAGGACAAGGTAGGCCTTGATCCACACACACGCAAGAGGACGATCCGCTCGATTTCCCAGATCCGGGCACAGTTTGGAAGCTTCAGACTACACCTTGCAACATGGTCTTTTCCCGGGTGCTTTAATCACAGCTTGTGGTATCCTTTTGTGCTTTCATGGAATCACAGAATTGTAGAGTTGGAAGGGGCCTGGGAGGCCATCCAGTCCACCCCCCTGCTGTTGCAGGACACCAGTTTACACCATCCCACTTGGATGGCTGCCCAGTTTCTTCCTGAATGCCTCCAGGGTGGGAGAGCCCCACACCTCTCCAGGCAGCTGGTCCCACGGTCCTATTGCTCTGACCGAGAGGAAGCTCTTCCTGATGCTCAGTCTGAATCCAGGTTGTCGCAGCTTGAATGGATCATTCTGTGTCCCGTATTCTGACATGAGCAAGAAGAGATCTTGGCCTTCCCCTTTGAGACAGAGGGAGATCATGTCCCCCACCCTCAGTCCTCTCTTCCCAAGGCTGAACAGGCCCAGGGCAGTGTTTTCAAACCCGCAATCATTTTTGTTGCCCTCCCTTTGCCCCACGTTCAATTGCTTCCCAAGGTTGTAGGTATCGTGTGTTTCCTCAGCAGAAGCCAACTTGGGAGAGCTTCTGCACGGAAAGGAGGCAAAGCAATCTTTTGAATAACAGACATCAGAGATGGAGGGGGCCCATAAGGCCATCAAGTCCACCCCCTGCTCAGCGCAGAGCAGAAGGTCCTCCTTCGGAATATGGATAGTTCTGGGGCACGCGGGGGCCCGTGGGGTGCTCAGCAATGGGCAGGAACACACTTCAGGCTTGCTTGAGCTCTCCTGCTTGAGGTCATTTCTGTAGGTCTTTCAAAGAGGGGCAGCCACATTCATGAAGAAGAAGGTAGGCTCGTCCTACAGGTCCCTTGCAGGGGAACATGGGCATGTGGGTGCTGTTGCACCCATGCCCGACATGTGTGGCAGCAAGGTGGGTGCTGTGGGGCCTGAATATTGTTCCAGTAAAGCTCCAGCATTTGGTTCCTATATTAGAGGAATGATGCATGACCATAATATTGCATAGCCAGAAAGAAGAGGGGCTTCTAGATCGAGAGAGGTATTCCTGCCACTCTGCATGACTCTGGTGTGCCCACAGCTGGAGACTTGGGCTCAGTTCTGGGCCCCTCGTTACAAGAGGGACATAGCAAGGCTGGAATCGGTGCAGCGAAGGGCCCCTGGGATGGTGGCCGGTTGCAGGGGAAGCCGCATGAGGAGAGGCTGAGGGAGCCGGGTCTCTTCAGCCTTGAGAGGAGGAGACTCAGAGGGGACCTGCTAGCAACATGCAGGTACGTGAGGGGATGTCCCACGGAGGTGGGACATGACCTTTTTTCCTCTGCAGTGTAGGCAGGGCCTGTTCCAATGGAGCAAAGATCAGGGAACCAAGATTTAGGATGGATGCCAGGAAGGACTTCCTGACGGTTAGGACCCCTGGGGTGTGGAATGGGTGCCCACGGGAGGCGGCTGAGGCCCCATCGGTGCGGGTGTCCAAGGACAGGCTGGACATGCACGTGGGGGGCATGTCGTGAGCAGAGCTGGCTGGAGCCGGGGGTCAGACTAGATGGCCTGGGAGGACCCTTCTGACTCACTCAGGAATAGAATTACGATTACAGTGCATTTATACCTGCCACTCTTCCTCTTGCAAGGAACCCCAGGTTGTTTACAAGAGTCTCCTGTGCTTTATTCACAACAACCCTGTGAGGTAGGCTAGGCTGTACATTGCTGCCAAAAGTCACCTCCACAGCTGCCTGGGGATTAGAACCCGGGTCTCCCAGGTCCCTAGATCAGCACCCTCACCAGCAGGCCAGCGAGGGAGGCTGGCCCATTTATTTACCGTATTTTTTGCTCTACAAGACGCACTTTGTTCCCCTCAAAAGTAAGGGGAAATGTCTGCGTCTTAAAGAGCGAATATGTGTGTGCAGTAAGTCTGTCAGATGTGCAGCCCATGGGGAAGTGATGGGGGAAGTGCCTGTGATTATGTGCCCATTTGATGCAGAATATTTTTTTTCTTGTTTTCCTCCTCTAAAAACTAGGTGCGTCTTATGGTCAGGCACGTCTTATAGAGAGAAAAATAAGGTATTCCTCAAAGAGAGAGGCTCAGGTGGAGTGCTCCTATTCAGAAGGCTCCTCCCAAAGGGATGGGGGCCAGGCATGCTCCTAAGGAGAGGTGCAGAGCAGGTTGGAGTCAACAAACCTCTCTGTGCATGCTCAGAGACTCGTTCTGGGTGATTTGTGCTTTTGGGACAGTCAAGAATGCTTTGCAAGGAAAAAGGGCTGTGGCTTTGATGTGCAGGGGAGGAAACTGGTTCCTGACATCACTGGAGCTTGATGGACTTTTGACATATTTTCACCTGATGGCCCAATGCTAGGCTTCTGTGATCCAAAACATTCGCGCCAATTTGGAGCTGAAAATTGCATCTCCTCTCTGGTGCAATCCACACATATCATGCCCAAGTCATTGGACAGACACTGTTATTTTCTTGTTTTTACTGTGGCATTTCACATGAGAATCCTGGAAGTCTCCTCCTTGCATCATACAGGTACATACTCCACCTCGGCCACCTTGAATTTTTGGACAATTCATGCTAGATTTGTGCAAAATCCAGGCTTCTGTTTCACAGTTTGTACTAATTTCCTTGGCTTAAACAAACAAGCAAGCAAACAAAAATGCAAACTGTGGTCTATTTTAAAACAAGACATCCACGAGTTGGCTCGACTTGCATCGGGTCAGAGAATCCACTTGGTCAAATTGAGAAAACCCACCAGAATTTCATGCCCTTATCAGGTTTCTTAAGCCTTCCCTAGCTGCATTTAATGTTGCCAGGAGCCCTGGCAGAGCACCGCCATCTAGAGGAAATGCAGGGTATTGCAGCAGCAGTTCGCATTAAGTGGTGTCCATCGGTCCCCTTTTTGAAAAGGACATGGATACATGCATGCATATAACCCTTTTATAGATTGGAGGAAAAGAGAAGCAAAGCTGTAAACAGTATCTTTGGACTGCAGGGATCCAGCTGGAGAACAACATCTCACGCGTTACGTGAATGTGATGATGTACTGAAAGGACTAGAAAAACAAGCCAAAATGCCTAGAGTGGCTTAAAAGGCCGCTGGGGAAGTGTCGGCCAATTTTTAGACTAGGCACCACCCACAAATCCATAGGGGGAAGCAGCTGGGGTAACCCCAAGATTTTCAGATGTACAAAATCTTTGCAGGACAAGGAAGGAAGGAAGGTTGCGTATTCATTCATTCATTCATTCATTAATGGTAGAACTCGGGGTGGCTGCATGCGGTTCCCAGGGGGTCCCCCCTCCAAGCTCAGCCAGCCCCAGCCCTGCTTAGCTTCAACAGTGTGGACGCTGTGCGTGCCGTCGGACCAGACTTGGGGTATGCTTAACATCGACCGTTGAGAAAAGTACAGTCGGGAGGGCGGGATGCAAAATGGTGCAAAAGGGCTCGGGCGGCTGCAGGGAAACACCTGCGCGGTGGTGACATTTCCCATGCCTGCTCTCCGCTGCAGCCCTAAAAGCCAAGTCGCCACCCCGTTATCTGGCCTGCGCTGGGCTCCTGGCAGGTAAAGGAGGAGTGTGGAGCCCGCACATGCTATTACCTTAACGAAGAGCTTGCTGCTGGAGGAATTGTGACTGGAGGCCACGGGTGTGCAGTAAACAGACATGGACTTGCGATCGCGGGAGAATTCCAGGGTGCACTCCTTCTTCATCAGCTGTTTGATCACCTGGGGAAGAGGACAGGCAGGGGTTCACCAAAATGGCGGCTGGAAGGAGGCGGAGAAGGGAAAATGGGCACCGTTCAGGCTCTCGGGGCAGAACTGCCTACGAACAGAAGAACCGCCATGACAAATCAATCTGCAGGACTGGTGTGCGACAGGACCCCCCCACCCATGTTCCCCAGCAACTGCTGTACACAGGCACACTGCCTCCAGCACTGGAGATAACCCACGGCCTCAGGATCAGTAGCCACCGACAGCCTTCTCCTCTGCGTATTTGCCCAATTCTTGAAAGCCACTCAAACGGATGGTCCTAACGCCACCCGAGGAAGTGAATCCCAGTGTATCTCTGCCCAGTTTGAAGAAGGCCTTCCCTCTCATCTCGCTTGACTCTGCCGCAAGTCAATTTCACAGGGCACCCACACTGAGTTCTAGTATTATAGAAACATACCACTGTCCACACTTTCTCTGCGTCATACATAATTTTGCTCAACTCCATCACGGCTCCCCCAATACTTTTTCTAAGCTAAACAATCCCATTTGTTGAAACCTTTCCTTGTGGGAGGACATGGGGGAGGCACAGGCAGCTGCCCCAGACAATCAGTGGGCTGTCTCCTCTGAATGCACATGCCAGCTAGGGAGGGACACAACCTGGTTACTCAGACGTTCAGTTTTGCAATCTTAATCCAATTTGTTCCAAAGCTGGGGTTTCTAAGTCTGCATGAAAATCTGTATGGATTTGTTTGCGTTTCTCCTGAATTATAGACATTGTTGTCTGCGACGGGCAAGTCTAAGGTGGAGGGCAATTTTCCTGAAATAATGCTTTATTATTAATAATAATGCTTTATGAGCACTATTTTCACTAAGATGCAGCTTTTGTATGCATTTTTCCACTGCAGAATTTTGCTGCAAAATTCTGAGCAATGAGAATCCCATGGAATTTCATGTGTGTGCAGAATCAAGATTCCAGGAGGGGTTTAGAGGCTCTCTTCCCCGTATAAATGGAGACCCCACTTTGTTAACCCCATCCCTCCATGGGCAGGGGATTTTCAGAAACATGCAAGGAGATTTATCCTTCCTCTCCAGGATTATGGTGGTCCCTGTCCAAGCTAGGGACGTTATATAATGTTTTTATAATCTATGTTTGTATATTGCACTTTTATATTTTATATTGCACTTTTATATTTTGTAAGCTGTCCTGAGTGCTTGGCGATGGGATGGGATATAAATGTCTGTAATAAATAAATAAATAAATAAATAGATTTATATCCTGCCTTTTTTCTTGTAAAGAACTGAAAGTGGCTTACATCATTGTTCCCCTCCTGCTGCTCTTAGTCCTATCCCCACAACAACCCTGTGAGGTAGGCTGGGCTGAAGGTCTGTGACTGGCCCAAAGTCACTCAAGTTGGCTTTGTGGCTGAATGGGGACTAGAACCCGGGGCACCTGTATCCCAGTCCTGCGCTCTTCCCCACGACCCCATGCTGGCTCTCAGTGATACTATAAAAGGTAAAGGTAAAGGTTTCCCCTTGACGTTAAGTCCAGTCATGCCTGACTCTAGGGGGTGGTGCTCATCTCCGCGTCCTGGCCAAGGGAGCCAGTGTTTGTCTGCAGAAGGTATCCGTGGTCGTGTGGCCGGCATGACTAAACACCGAGGTACACTGAACGCTGTTACCTTCCCACCAAAGTGGCACCTTTTCATCTACTCGCATTTGCATGCTTTTGAACTACAAGGTCAGCAGGAGCTGGGATGGAGCAACGGGAACTCACCCCGTCTGCGGATTCGAACCGGCGACCTTTCGATCAACCAGCCCAGCAGCACAGCGGTTTAAACCACTGTGCCACCCGCAGTCCCAAGTGATATTATACTGAAGGAAATAAAAAGATAAGTTTGGGCTCTGAGAGGCAAGAAACGCCATTGCTTACTCACTGTATTACATGCATGGGCTCTCTCGACTTTGGAGAGATTGCTGGTGTCCGTATCAAAAACATTCATCTTCTCCACCAGGCAGGTCAGCGCCGTCTCTGTTGCTTCTCCCACCTTTTCGTAGACTTTCTTGGACTGATAACAGGAATGGAAGGTGGGGGAAGAAACCCGCATTTCCATGGGAAGAGAGAAAAGCACTGTGAAAATTCACATCCCAAAATACACAAAGGCTGAAAGAAGGGGGACCATATTGCATGTTATTTAACAAAAACTTTGTTAAAAGTTTATTGTGGTCCTTTTATTTGCTAATTGAACAGCTTTAAAGTTTTCTCATTACCGACAGAAAAGGCATTTGGACAGTAATATTAGAGGGGCTGAAAGATCAGGAAAGCACACCCACAGTGCAGACCTGCATGTGTCTACTCAGATGTAGGTGCAATTTAATTCTCTGGACTTGCTCCCAGGAAAGCAGGTGTGGGATATTGGTGTCAGGCTGCTCCCTGCAGGCTGCTCAGAGGCATCAGAGGCAGAAGGAAGCGATGCCACAAGCAACACAGAAGTCCTAAAACTGCTAAGCACTGGTTCCACCTTGCACCCACCTCGTTGTAATCGAGTGAGGAATCGTTGCAGAGGCCACAGATGATGGCCAGCTCCACCAAACCATCGTACTGTCCGCACCGAACGGGGCCGTCGTTCTTCAGGCTGCCATTTCAAAGGAAAATAAAGATAATTGCTTCAGACAGGAAAAAACAAACCCCTGTGGTGCACAAACCAGGAGCAAGGAACCTGAAAAGGTGCATTTATTTTTCATCATTTCTACACCTCCCTGGAATTTCAGTCCTGCCTTTCTCTGCAAATACACACACGCACGCAGCATGGTTGTGTATTAAGTTCTACAATTCTCTTGCATGCTCCGTTCACTTATTTGGGGGGTTCCTGTTTTTCAGCAATTGGGATTGCAATCCTATGCAAGGAGCCAAGCTCAGGGAACCCAGGTTCAGTTTGGATGCCAGGAAGCACCTCCTGACAGTCAGGACCCTGAGGGTGTGGAATGGGCTTCCTCGGGAGGTGGCTGAGGCCCCATCGGTACGGGTGTTCAAGGACAGGCTGGACATGCACGTGGTGGGCATGTCGTGAGCGGAGCCGGCTGGAGCCTGGGGTCAGACTAGATGGCCCGGGAGGCCCCTTCTGACTTGCTCTATGTTAGAAAAGAAGTCCTACAATTCCCAGCATGCCACAGTCACCCGGGAATTGCAGGACTTTCCCCAGTTGAACAGGGTGATGCCCGGAGGCTGCAGTCCATTGCATGTTTGGACCAAAAAGAAAAAAAGCCCCAGAATAGAAAGGGCATACAGCTGGGGGAAAGCTGAAAGTTGCTGGACTCCTGTTTAAACATGCCACAGGACTGTGCTCAAAGTTGATTTGCAACATTTTAAAATACAATTTTAAATTTCTGGCTTCCTCCAACCCGTTTCCAGAACCACGGTCTCCCCAAGCAAGGGATGAAGGTTCCCTTGGGAAGAGCATCCCTGCCTGGCATGTACCAGCTCCCGGTCTTGATCCTTGGCATCTTTAGGCAGAGTTGGGAAAGATGCCAGTCAGTGTTGGCAATAATGGACACCTTCCTATGTTCCCACTCAAATCAGCCCTTTCTTCAGAAACATGAGGACTGGAATCTTGATTTGTTGTTAAGGGAAGGACCATAGCTCAGTGGTGGCGCATGTGCTTTCCATGCAGGTGGTCTCTCGTTTGATCCCCAGCAACTTCCAGTAGGAATTGGAAAGAATCTTGCCCAAAGCTGCAGAAAAGCCCTGCCAATCCGTGCTGATCTTTTGGAGGAAGGCCTGATGCGGTACGAGACTGTGATGACCAAGGGCATTAGAGACTTTCATTTCAGGTGTGCCTGCCCCTGTTTTGCTTCAGAAATGGCCAGTTAGCAAACATTTATTTATTAGATTTCTACCCTGCTCCAGCAAGGGACTGAAGGTGGCGCAGTGGTTTAAACTGCTGTGCTGGTTGATCGAAAGGTCGCCAGTTCGAATCTGCACAACGGGGTGAGTTCCCATTGCTCCGTCCCAGCTCCTGCCAACCTTGCAGTTCGAAAGCATGCAAATGCGAGTAGATGAAAAGGTGCCACTTTGGTGGGCAGCTAACAGCGTTCCTGCACCTCGGTGTTTAGTCATGCCGGCCCCGTGACCACGGAGACTGTCTGTGGACAAGCGCTGGCTCCCTTGGCCAGGAAAAGGAGAAGAGCACCGCCCCCGAGAGTCAGCCATGACTGGACTTAATGTCAAGGGGAAACCTTTACCTTTACCTTTACCTTTACCCTGCCTCAGTAGCCACAGGCTCTCATTTGTTCCACTGTCTCCATTCAATTTCAGTGCAATTCTGAATTTGCCCATGTTCCCAAATCAGCCCTGCTCTGTCCTGTGGAGGAAATTTCTGCACACTTTCTCATTCTATAATTGTCCATTTTGCACAACTGGCCCATTCATGCAGAGCGAGCAGCGATCATGAGTGCACCCTTAAGCCAGTGAGAGCTGACATTTGGGAACTCTTGGCAAGCTCAAACAGCACTCATGTTCCTGCTTATACTGTTGATTCAAAACTAGGGGAAATATACTCTGCACATTCTCAGAGGCTCCCTCTACAGGAAGTTGTCTCTGACTGAGCTAGATCACGGCTCCATCTAGCTAAATATCACAGCTGGATAGGCAGCCATTCCCTGGCATCCAGGATGGATCCTTCTATCACCTCTTGTCTTGTGTCTCTCGCCTGGAGATGCCTGGGCTGAACCGCAGACCTTCTGCATCCAAAACAGCGGCCTTTTACTTCTGGGAGAACTTCCTGCATCCCAGGCTAAGAGTCTGCCACCCACAGCTGCTCCTGGAACTGCATGCTAACAACAATACGTCCCACCACCTGCCTATTGGACCCTTGCCCTTCTTGGCTACTTAACAATGCCAAGCACAGGACAGGGACCTGGATCCTGGAGGTTGTCAACGCCTCTCTGAGGGACGGCCGGGTACCTGCCCCTTTAAAGGAGGCGGTAGTCCGACCAGTCCTAAAGAAGGCATCCCTGGATCCAGAGGTGGCTGCCAATTATAGACTGGAGGCCAATATCCCGTTCTTGGGCAAGGTGTTGGAGCGGGTGGTAGCGGGACAACTCCAAGCACTCTTGGATGAAACTGATTATCTGGACCCATTTCAGTCCAGCTTCAGACCCGGGTACAGTACTGAATCTGCCTTGGTCACCCTGTACAATGACCTGTGCAGGGAGAAGGACAGGGGGAGTGTGTCCCTGTTGGTTCTTCTGGACCTCTCAGCGGCTTTCGATACCATCAACCATGGTATCCTTCTGAATAGGCTGGCTGGATTGGGAGTTGGAGACACCGCGTAGTGGTGGTTCCGCTCCTATCTCAATGGCCGATTTCAGAAGGTGGTGCTGGGAGACTATGGCTCTGCGCCATGGCAGCTATGCCATGGAGTACCACAGGGGTCCATTTTGTCTCCCTTGCTATTCAACATCTACATGAAACCGCTGGGAGAGGTCATCAGGAGGTGTGGGCTGCGGAATCATCAGTACGCTGATGATACCCAGCTCTACCTGTTGTTTTACACCAATCCAGGTGAGGCAGTGGCTGTGCTGAACCGGTGCCTGGCCGAGGTAATGGGCTGGATGAGGGCCAATAAACTGAAGCTCAATCCAGACAAGACGGAGGTCCTGTTGGTAGGTGGGTCGGGCTTCGGGGAAGGGGACCTTGACCTTGTCCTGAATGGTGCAACACTCCCTCTTAGGGATAAGGTCTGCAGCTTAGGAGTACTCCTCGACCCAGAGCTTTCTTTGGAAGCTCAGGTGACGGCGGTGGCGAGGAGCGCCTTCCTTCAGCTTCAGCTGATCCATCAGCTGCGTCCCTTCCTGGAGAAAGACCGCCTGGCGACGGTGACACATGCGTTGGTAACTTCCCGATTAGATTTCTGTAACACGCTCTACGTGGGGCTGCCCTTGAAGACGGTCCGGATACTTCAGTTGGTTCAAAATAGAGCTGCCAGGCTGCTGACGGGGACTGGGCATTGTTCTCATATAACCCCAGTCCTCCGTCAGCTTCACTGGCTCCCGATTGAAGTCTGGGCCCAATTCAAGGTGTTGGTTATCACCTATAAAGCCCTTAATGGCTTGGGTCCTAGTTACCTAAAGGAACGCTTGCGTCCATATATGCCCTCCCACCCCTTGAGATCGGCAGCAGAGGCCCTTCTCCGGGAACCCTCTGCGAAGGATATTAGGAGGGTGAGTACCCAGAGGAGGGCCTTCTCTGTGGTGGCTCCCCACCTCTGGAATGCGCTCCCCAGAGAGGTCTGCCTGGCGCCGTCGTTATTTGCTTTTCGGCGCCAGGCCAAGACCTTTTTATTTAAACGTCATTTTAATTGTTAGCTTTATTTATTGATTTTAACAACTTTGGCCAGGATGTCTCCAATTTTATATTATTGTATTGATGGTATTTATGTTTGGAAGCTGCCCCGAGGCTTATGCGAAGGCGGCGGCATATAAGTTTGCTAAATAAACAAACAAACAAACAAACTTTCTCTCGAGTTCAGCCCCAGGTTTGCCCTGATCAGCAGCTGCAGGAGAAGTTTTGGAATGTCGGAAGAAGGCCTTCTGTCGGAAGCCCTATTTCTGAGTGACAAATTGTACCCTTTCTGCACGACATTAACACATGCCTTGGACTAAAGCACAGCTGTGATGGAAAAGCTCCCAGCCAATTAAGAGATCAAGAGAGCCTAGAGGGCGACTGCGCGGAAGAAAAGCTTATGTATCACAAAGGAGATTAACACACTTCTCCAAGGAGCCTACGCACGCGCCATTCCTGGGTTCTGTTTATGCTAGAATCCTGCAGACTCTGGCAAGGAATGAGGGAATACAGCCTCCACAGCTTGCTTGCCTTTCATTTGTAAAGCACCTAGTCCTTATGAATGCAAAGTGGCTGTCAGAAATGGCACGCATGACATATCCCACAGTCTCCCAGTTGTGAAATTTGCTTCCTGCTTGGTGCCTACAGCAGAGTCTTCCTGGCCAGATGACAAATTTAGTATTCCCCCGGACATTTTATTATTTATCTAAGGCATCTCAATCCTGTCCTATACAAAAGTTTTATTCTTCCAATTTCTGTTACTGTATTTCCCATCTTTGCAGTGCTACTGGATTTTAATTTTCACTTCTAGTTTATACTGTAGTTTTAAAATTTTGAACATGCATAGTGTGCTTATGCTTGATTTTATGGTTCCCGTGGTTGTGAATGGCACAGAGAGCTCAGGCTACTGGGTAGTGTGGGAATCTAATAGGATTAATTCCATTATTAAAATGCATAAAACTTTAGTGATGGTCCCGATAGCATGAAGTACTAAGAATGTAGAAATTAGTGACGTTCCCCATACATATTATAAATAGCACTGCAACCTCAAAGTAGAAAGGAGTTGCCAATTTCTGAGGACGTTTCCAAATTTTGTCTTTTCCCAACCCATTCCACACAGATAGCTCTGGCAAAATGCTTTGTAAAAGGCATTTTTGATATGATTCTACAAATATTTGTATCATGATTCCCTGTGTGTTTTTCCAACACAAAGAAGTCCGTGCATGCATCTGTAAAGCAAAACAGCAAAAATAGAAACCAGCAAGCAACCTCCCATGCTATTATACATATAAACACATCAAGAAGATTACACAGAAACAGAGCGAGTCAGAAGGGGTCTCCCGGGCCATCTAGTCTGACCTCCGGCACCAGCCGGCTCCGCTCACGACATGCCCACCATGTGGACGTCTCATTACTTTTTGTGCAGCGCTGCCCATGTGCTTCATGCAGTGCTTTTGAGAGTCAGGGTGGTGGGGCAGCGGGAGTGCAAGGCTGGGGACCTGGGAGATCCGGGTTGTAGTCCCCACTCAGCCATGAAGCTCACGGAGCGACTGTGTGCCAGTCCCGGACACTCAACCTAACCTACCTCACAGGGTTGTTGTTGGGAGGATAAAATGGAGTGCAAGGTTTTATAAGCTGCTTTGGGTTCCTTGCAAGAGGAAACGTAAATGCAATGCAATAATAAATGCAGAGCAATGTAATAAAATGCCGAGCAATAAAATGGGACGTAAATGCATCGTGCATCATCACCTCTCTCTTCATCATACCATATGCTTTCCTTCCCAATGTTTTGTCTCACGCTTCTTTGCAACAAGGGCAAGGAGAGCTGCATGACGTGGTGAGCAATTTCTGCTCCAGCTAAGGAGCACTTCTACATTTGTCCATGTTGAACTGGAACCCAGGGAAAGGGGCAGGAAAGGCAGACGCATCCCCAAAGAGCAGAATCCCCGGCGTTCCCCGTATTTAATTTTGGCAGCAGCATGCCTCCCTCCAGCTTTTCGCTCAATAACATTTGCCCTTCGGGCCTCGCTTCCAAATGCTCGTTCGTCCCGCTGTAACAACAACATCAGCTGCTTCCAACAAAGTGACTCCACCTCGCACAACACTTGCGCTCCTGTTTGGGAGGGGAGATGTGGATTCCCACAGAGCCCGAGAAGGGGGCCCCAGAGGAAGCCATCCCGCTCCTTCCCAGCCCTATTTGAATGCTATCAGCACTTCTTCAGCAGGGGGAAAAAGCGTCAGCCCAGTTCTCAGTGGAGAGTGATCCTGCCTCTTGTTTCCAGGGGATCTGGCCCCCAGCACAGTGGCTGAACTGGCCGCATGCCTTGAGATGTGTTGCGGAAGGGCTCCGTGTCACAAAAGACCTGAGGAGGGGACTGAGATCCCCTGAGTGGGAATGCCCGCTCAAGGACCAGGCTGCTTCCTACAGAGATGCTACTAGAAACACAGAAATATAGAACATAGAAACAGAGCGAGTCAGAAGGGGCCTCCCGGGCCATCTAGTCTGACCCCCGGCTCCAGTGGGCTCTGCTCACAACATGCCCACCATGTGCACGTCCAGCCTATCCTTGAACAGATGTGGGGAGGGGGCATATTTCTGGGCCACATCCCCAGGGGCAAAGCCAGATGCCCCTTTGCTGGCTTCCTGGCTTACATGGCCCCTCAGAGACGCCCCTCTAGTCCCTCACCATGGCAAAGAACAGCTCTGGGGTGCTGGGAAAAGCCATGGGGCTTTTCCTAGCCCTGCAGCTTTCTTGGATGCTGGAGCTGCAGCCAAGGGTTTGGGGGTGCCCAGAGTAAGTGGGTGGCTTCAGTATTAGCTGGGTGAGGGGTCTACCAGAACTGTGCCAGAGCTCTCCATGGTCCTGCTTTGAGCCAAGGGTTCAGGACCACGGACAGATCCTTTAGCGTTCAGGCTGGGGCCAAGCGAGGCTCTGGTAGCCCACTGACACTGGAACCAGCTGGGAGACCAGCAGAATGAGCTTTTCCTTCACTGAGTTGCCACACTGAAGCAGTTTTTAGGGGAACAGAAGCAGAAGTGGGGAAGGTAAGAGAATGCAAGCAGCTTTCCCCCTTTGATCCCACTGTAGCATAACCAGTCCAATTAATCAGCAAGAACACTCATCCATCCATCCTCTCCCCCATGCCTGCTCTCAGATACTCCACAGCAACCTATTATTAGAGATGGAAGGGCTTTCCTTGGATTAACTCTGAAACGTTTTGAATTTTTTCCGGGGGAAAAATGGCCAGGAATCAGGTAGTTCTTCCAAGCCAACCAAAACCCTATGGGGACCCGTGACCTCCTATTTATTCTAGTTTTTTCTTCAGAAATGCCTGCATCATCTTTCATGCACCGACCGACACTCCAGGGCAAAGTACAAAGATCCGCTGGATCCCTCGCAAAGAAGGAAAGCCAAGTCAGACCCGGGTACAGTACTGAATCTGCCTTGGTCGCCCTGTACGATGACCTGTGCAGGGAGAAGGACAGGGGGAGTGCATTCCTGTTGGTTCTTCTGGACCTCTTGGCGGCTTTCGATACCATCGACCATGGTATCCTTCTGGATAGGCTTGCGGGATTGGGAGTTGGAGGCACTGCTTTGCAGTGGTTCCGCTCCTATCTCAACGGTCGATTCCAGAAGGTAGTGCTGGGGGACCATGTCTCTTTGTCATGGCAGTTATGCCATGGAGTACCACAGGGTTCCATTCTATCCCCTCTGCTATTTAACATCTATATGAAACCGCTGGGAGAGGTCATCAGGAGGTGTGGGCTGCGGAATCATCAATACGCTGATGATACCCAGCTTTACCTCTCGTTTTCCATTAATCCAGGTGAGGCAGTGGCTGTGCTGAACCGGTGCTTGGCCGAGGTAATGGAATGGATGAGGGCCAATAAACTGAAACTCAACCCAGACAAGACAGAGGTCCTGTTGGTTGGCGGATCGGGTTTCGGAGAGGGTGGATTTGACCTGGTCCTGAATGGTGCAACACTCCCTCTTAGGGATAAGGTCCGCAGCTTAGGCGTACTCCTCGACCCGGAGCTTTCTTTGGAAGCTCAGGTGACAGCGGTGGTGAGGAACGCCTTCCTTCAGCTTCGGCTGATTAATTAGCTGCGCCCCTACCTGGAGTACGACTGCCTGGCGACGGTGACACACGCGCTGGTGACTTCCCACCTAGACTTCTGTAACGCGCTTTACGTGGGGCTTCCCCTGAAGACAGTCCGAACACTTCAACTGGTTCAAAATAGAGCTGCCAGGTTGCTGACGGAGACGGAGCGTTATGCTCACATGACTCCAGTCCTCCGTCAGCTTCACTGGCTTCCCATTGAAGCCCGGGCCCAATTCAAGGTGTTGATTATGACCTATAAAGCCCTAAACGGCTTGGGTCCTGGCTACCTGAACGAGCGCTTACGTCCATATATGCCCGACCACCCTTTGAGATCTGCGGGAGAGTCCCTTCTCCGGGAACCCTCCATGACAGAAATTAGGAGAGTAAGCACTCAGAGAAGGGCTTTCTCTGCGGTGGCGCCCAACCTATGGAATTCACTCCCCAAAGAGGTCCGCCTGGCACCGCCGTTACTGGTTTTTCGGCGCCAGGTAAAGACCTTTTTATTTAAACATCATTTTAATTGTTAAAATATATGATCTGGCCAGGGCAACTTCTTCTTCCTTCTCTTTTCTCCTCCTATATTATTTATTTACTTACTTTATACTGATAATTTTAATTTTATATTATTATGTTTGTAACTCAATGTATTTTTTGTATTTAATGGTAACTTATTATGTTCTATTGTATTTCAATGTATTTTATTGTGTTGTAAGCCACCCCGAGGTTTCGGCAAGGGGCGGCATAGAAATGTTATAATAATAATAATAATAATAATAAGTCCACCACCTGACAACCCGCTGTCAGCACATGCAGGGTAGCAATGGGACTTCCAGGACCAGATCCAAGGGGGAAGGTTGGGGGAAGCCGCGTCCCTTGGAGCACACAGAGGAGGGGGAGCTGGCTTCTCCCTTGGATTGGGCCTCCCCTGTTGGAGGGGCAAACCACCCTGGAGGGGAGGGACCGTGTCTTCCATGCAGGGCCCCTGCCCCAATTTTGTCCTGGAAGACCAGCCGTCATCCACAAATAGGTCCTGGGGCAACAGGCAACTGCCCACCCTCCTGCAATAAAGCAAACCCCACTAAAAACGGATCTCCGAGTTGGAGGAGACCCTGGGCTTCCAACTGGACCCAGAGATGCATTTGTGAAACCTGTCCAAGATCATTCTTCAGTGCCGCTAAATGCTCACATTTGCCCCTCGGGGGTGTAGGTGGAGCCGGTGATGGCAAATTCATGCAGGCTGCAGTGGATGCCCTCGATCTTCTCCACAATGAACATCTACGAGAAAAGGAAGGAAGACGGGTTGGTCAGTGGTTCACAGAAAGCACTGCGGAGCTGCTATTCGCAACACCACGGCAACCCTCACGGCAACGAGAGGTGGTTGAGGCCCCATCGGTGCGGGTGTTCAAGGACAGGCTGGACGTCCACATGGTGGGCATATCATGAGCGGAGCCGGCTGGTGCCGGAGGTCAGACTAGATGGCCCGGGAGGCCCCTTCTGACTCGCTCTGTTTTCTATGTTTCTATGTTTCTAACCCACACTCAAGGGCTGCTCATGGGCTTTGTGTGGGTTGCCACTGATTCATGGTTTGTCTGAAACCAGCCATAATAAGAAACCACAGTGAACAATCCACCGGAAATGAAACCGGAAATGACCCTCCCTCGCTGGGATGAGAGCTGAAAGCCAGATTCAGCTCAAGTGAAACTTCCTGGGGGAAGAATTCGGCCAAAAGAAAGGCTTTTCATATGCAGCATTTTCCTTGCCAGGAGCACATTCATCTGGGGTCAAAAATGACCCCAGATGCAACTAATGTTAGCTTTTTTGTGGAGATGGGATAGCCATGATAACCAAATTGTGTATATGCATTTTGAGGGGAGGTACATGTCCCACTGAAATGAGCAATATAGAGCAAAGCAGCAACGGGGTGCAGGGTGGGGATACACACACACACACACACTTCTAATTTAATTCTTACATTTTAATCACAGCCTTTTTCTAAGGAGCTGAGATTTTGGCTCATAAAGTTCTCTTCATCATTTTATTTACACAACAAGCCTGAGAGGCATTTAGCCCAAGAGTGAGTGATGGTTCACGTAGCGAGGTTTGGGGCTGGGTGAGCATTTGAACCAGGCTCTTTGCACAACATTCTAATCACCGCACCACAATTGCCCTCACTGCTCGGGAAGTGTGAAGAAACAAAGAGAGATATGAAATACTACAAGATTTTGACATGCACATGGTGGGCATGTCGAGAGCGGAGCCAGCTGGAGCCAGGGGTCAGACTAGATGGCCCGGGAGACCCCTTCTGACTCGCTCTGCTTCTGTGTTTATGATTCCCCCCCTGCCCGATTCCAGTTGCACTGGTGCCAGTTTGCTGTTGTGCAAATCAAGTCAGATCATTCACTACCAACCCCAAGATGAACAACAGTTTGCACATTTAAAAAAGTGCTGAGTAAGTTTACACAAATCGTGCCGGAATGACTTGTGTTTGGCTTGTAATTTGTGCAAACTGTGCTAGTCCAAGTTTCCATCATGTTTTTAATACAAAAAAAATGCAAAATACAAATGCAAAACAGAGATGGAAGCCTATGGTAAAAACTCAACTTGGATTAGAAGTGGGCAAGAAATATGTCAGGTTCAGGAGAGCACAGCATCTCAGCACCAGTACACCTCTGCTTCATGATGTGAAGTGGCTTCTTGCTCTACTAAAGAACCACAGATCGCACCATATTTTGCTCCTGTGAGCATTTCCGTAGAATTCTTCTGCTAATTTTTTACTGGCATTGAGGGCAGGTTCACAGCATCTTCTTTTGACTGAACATTTTGTTTTATCCATCATCTGTTTTTATGTTTTTTTGTGTTCCCTGTTCCAGCAATGCCATACTGGAACTGGAAATCGAGTCCAATGAGGAATGGTGGAAAGATTCGGGTATGCTTAGTTTGGGAAAGGGGAAATTAGGAGGAGACATAATAGCGACCTTCGGATATCTGAAAAGGCCTCACAAGGAAGGGGGAGCAGGTTTGTTCCTTGTCACTCCAAAGAGCAGGATTAGGCACAAGAGGGGGAACTGCAAGGAAACCGAGGCTAAGCATCAGGGGAAATGTCCTAATTAGGCCCGGATTGCTCGGTGGTAGGATAACCCACTGCCTCAAGAGGCGGGCGCGACCTTTCCCTGCAGGTACACAAGGAGGTTTGGTAGCCATCGCTCAAGGTTGCTGCAGCTACACCCTGCAGAGGTTGTAGAAGGGGCTGTACTAGATGATCTCTAGGGACCCTTTCCACTCTAAAAGTCTACTAACAACATGGGTTTTTCATCACACGGTCAACACCTTTGTTTCTCTCAAATTTTACGACACACGTCAAAGAGCACGCCAGTAAAAGTGTCAACCCCTTTGAAAGAGAACGGCATTCCAACACGCTCCAGGCTGTGCTAGCTTTCTGGCTGCAGAGAACCCCGCAGCCGGAAGGGAGGAGCTTCATTCCAGCCCCTCATTCCCCAGCCTGTGGCCCAGAAGAGGATGCAATGACAAATGACGTATAAAGAAGGGAAGGCTTGGGGGGTGGGGTGTCTCCCACACCCAGAGGTCCCTGGTGGTTCCTCTTGGGTCTGTTTGGTGCAATCAGCCTGCCATTGCTACTGGAGTCTGGCTAACATTTCAAAGCACACCTGGGCAGGTGGAAGCAGTGGAGGCAAGAGGGCAGATGCAGAAAAGCAAAGCGAGGTGCCGAAGGGCTGCGAACAACAGTGGCTTGAAACGGTATTTTTAACAACCGAGTGAAAAGAGATGCCAGGGAGAAGCCAGAACAATTCTGCTGGGCTGCTGCTCGCCAGCCCCTCCAGTCACGAACTCTCGGGCTGAATGCCCATCCTTTGGCAAGCAAAAGGAAGGCTACCCCAAAAAAGGTGCACATTCAGACCATACTTTAGCTTGTGAAGTCAGAGAAAAGGAAACCTGCTCCTCGTCCTGATGCCAGATGTCCACACAGTTTGCTCTCCTCTCCTTTCCAGCATTTGTACAACACCCTCTGTCGTCTCCATAACAAGGCAGCTTATGATGCAGTTAATACAAAACCCACAAGGATCAAATATAGCAGCAGTAGGCAAAGTGTGTGTCGTGTGCGCCAACTCAGAGGAGACTTCGGCGCATGTGGGGGAGGAGGCGGCTTCCCGTGGGAACCAGGATTCGGTGCAGGAAGATGTGTACCTGGTGCCCATTGTACAAACGACTCCCTCCTGCCACTCCCTGACGAAGTGTTTCAAAGAGGAGAAGACGCAGGGGAGAGCAGGACTTAAGCAGAAGTTGATAGTGAAACGTGGTTGCCGGAGAAGCAGCTGGGCCGTTTGCAGAGAGCGGCCATGGGAATGCTGTGACTGGCACTGTCCCAGGACAGAGGGGGTTTGATGATGCTTGCCCTCGGAGACGCAGGCGCAGGCTAGCGCAATTGGAGTCGAGGGGGTTAGAAAGGAGGAGGGAGAGAAGTTTGTCTGATCCACCCAAGGAGGGACGTCCCAGGCAAGTCAAAAGCATCAGAGAGAGAGGACTACTTCGCCGCCACCACCATCATCTTTAAAAGCATCTCCGTCTGTTCTTGCCAATGTATCTACAACGTTTCGCGGAATAAAGGATTTTAGCGTCAACTGATTTGTCGGCCTTGTTGAGAAGGAGCGCCTCAGCCTCACGACAGCATGGGCTTCCAGAGGTTTGGGCCTACAACTCCCATCAGCCTTAGCCAAAATAGCCCACGGCTAGAGGAGCTGCCCACCCTGCATCATGCAAACCGCGTTGCCCTCCACTGGGACCAGGCAAAGCAGAGTTTCAGTCTCCTGCATTCCTGCTTTTAAAATCTCAAGTTCATTCTGTCTCGCAAAGGAAGACATGGGTGCGGTTTGGCAAATTCTGATCAAAATCCTCCCAGAGGAAATTCTCTCCCAGCTGCATGCTCTGGAATCACCAGGAACACAAGGGAAGCCATGCTGGGCTAGCCTGCTTGGAGCTGCCAAAGGAGAGGGGCCCGCCTGGAGAGGAACCTTGGCAACCTCCATTCTGTGCGGCCAACGTGGCTGAAGGACGCAGTGACGCAGGCCTCGACCCTGGAGAGCAAGGCCTTCGGGCACAGCTCGAGCGTTGCAGCGCCCTCCACAGGGGCTCCTCTTGGACTCGGTTTGGATGCCGCAGCTACGGCAGGACAGTTGCCCCCTCTGGCATCCAGTCACGTTCACATGGACTCAAGGAACTGCATCGCTTGCCTGCCAGCTACCAAGCCAACATGCAAACCCCCAAGCAACTCGGGAATAGGACACCTCCTTACACCTAGCGAGCCCCTAACATCCTCGAAAGAGGCCTGCCGGGTGGCATCATGACCAACAGCACATGCCCACCTAGCATCTTGAAGGCAAGGCTTTCCTGGTGGTGGCACCTTCCCTGCGGAACATCCATAGGGACGATTGTCATGCAGCTCAGGAGGCAGAGAATGGGGAAACCCATTTCCTCTTGCAAGCTTTCTCTGGGTTGCAATTTGTTGCAATCACTCTACTGTTCCATTTCATTGTTTCAGGGCATTGCTTTTGATCATCAGGCTAGTCCTCATTGTTTTTAATGCCCTGTGAGCAACACGTTTCAATACCATTGCGCATCCGCCACACAATCCAATTATGGAGTATCCAAAGTGTGGAGAAAGGCAAGGTGGCCTCTGTCTTTGCTGTTCCCATTACTCATCCAGACAGCTGTTTAAGAAAGATGCAGGTAAATTGGAAAGGGTCCAGCAGAGGGCAATATGAATGACCCAGGGTTTGGAAACACTGCCCTGGGAGGAGAGACTGGGGGAACTGGGCATGTTCAGCCACGGGGACCTGCTATCCCTCTGTAAGTACCTCAAAGGCTGTCACAAAGAGGACGGTCAGGATCTCTTCTGCTGATGCCAGACTGCGGGACACAGAAGAATCAAGTCAAGTTGCGACAACCCAGATTCAGGCTGGACATCAGGAAGAGCTTCCTCACCAAAGGGGCAGTGGAAACGGCTGCCTGGAGTGGTGGGGGGCTCTGCCACACTGGAGGCATTCAAGGTGAAACTGGGCAGCCCTCTGAGTGTGACAGTGTGACGTGGTGTGGTTCCTTCCACACAGGCTGTGATGGGGCCAGGGCAGAGACTCGCTTTCCCAGAGCCAATTCCAGGACGGCACACCTTTGGAGCAGGGACTCTGAATGATCTTACACCTCCCATCCCAGGAGGCTGCAAGACGGCCCCCTTTGATGCAATATTAAGTTGGTGGCATGAA